GTGAGGGGGCTAATAGCACCCTGGGGGTGGGGTCCCCTGAAAGTGGGGCGTATAGAGGCCAAAGAGTGGGGGTCTCCCCTCTGTGGCCCTGTGAAAGTGTCCTATAGAAACCAGGGGTTGGAGTCCCCTAAAAGTGGGACCTATAGAGTGCAAAGAGTGGGGGTCTCCCCTATATGGCCCCGTGAGAGTGTCCTATAGAACCCAGGAGTTGGGGTCCTCTGAGAGGGGGACCTATGAGTGCAAAGAGTGGGGGTCTCCCTTATAGAGCCCTGTGAGAATGTCCTGTAGAGGCCAAGGGGTTGGGGTCCCCTGAAAGTGGGACCTATAGAGGTCAAAGAGTGGGGGTCTCCCCTATACACCACTGTGAGAGTGTCCTATAGAACCCAGGGATTGGGGTCCCTTGAAAGTGGGACCTATAGAGTTTAAAGGGTGGGGGTCTCCTCTATATGGCCCCCTGAGAGTGTCCTATACAGCCCAGGGGTTGGGGTCCTCTGATAGGGGGACCTGTAGAGGTTAAAGAGTGGGGGTCTCCCCTGTATGGCCCCATGAGAGTGTCCTGTGGAGGCCAAGGGGGGGGTGTCATCCCTATACACCCATGTGAAAGGTTCTTATAGATCCCGGGGGTGCGCTTACCCCCACAAAGCTCTTTGAAGGGCCCTGGTAGAGCAGGAATTTCCCTCTATATGGTTCTGGGAGGGGTCCTATAGAGCCCAGGGGTGTCCCCCCCCACATATGGCCCAGTGAGGGGGGCTCTGTAGAGCCCTGAGTATGGATCTTCCCCTATATGGCCCTGTGTGGGTGGCCCGTATGGCCCCATATGGGTTCCCGTACGTCGTCGTGGGGTAAGAGGGAGCCCTGCTTGATGGTTCTATAGGGCTGTGCCCTATAGATCGCTGGGGTTGGGGGTTCTCCTCAGTATGTCCTTGCGAGAGGGGAAGCTGTAGAGCCCTGGGGATGGAGGTTCCCCTCCCCATATGGCCCTATAGAGCTCTGGGGGAGGCGTTCCGCCATATAGCCCCCCTAAAGGTAGGGGTCTACCTATAGAGCCCTATGAGGGGGGCGTATATACCCTTGGGGAGCTATAGAGCCCCCCACTACCCACCCTGCTGTAGCGAGGGGGTGTTGGTGGTCCCCTATATAGCCCTATAAGGGAAGCCAATCCTGCCTGGATGGGAACAGTGGACTTGGAGATCTTTGTTGATCCTTTTTTTGGCGTCTCTCGGGGTTTTTTGGCGTTTCCAGGATTGTTTTTAAATAATTTTCAGGATTTTGTGGCCTTTCCAAGGTGTTTTTGGCATTTCCAGGTTTTTTTTTTTGGCATTTCCAGGGTTTTTTTTTGCATTTCCAGGGGTTTTTTTTGGCATTTCCAGGGGAAAAGTTTTCTTATTTCCAGGTGGCTTTTGGCATTTCCAGGTTTTTTTTTGCATTTCCAGGGTTGTATTTTAGTAACTTTCAGGTTTTTCTGTGGCATGTCTGGGTTTTTTTGTGGTATTTCCAGGGTTTTTGTTTGCATTTCCAGGGAGTTTTTGGCATTTCCAGGGTTTTTGTTTGCATTTCCAGGGAGTTTTTGGCATTTCCAGGGTTTTTGTTTGCATTTCCAGGGAGTTTTTGGCATTTCCAGGGGTGGCTTTTTGTGTATTTCCAGGGGGCTTTTGGCGTTTCCACGTTTTTTTTGTATTTCCGGGGTGTTTTTGGCACTTCCAGGTTTATTTTCTGGCATCTCCAGGAGTTTTTTGGCATCTCCCTTCAGCTGCCGACGCCTCAGCCACGACGCCGTTGCATCCCTGCTGCGGTTCCCTCCAAAAACCTTCCTTCTTGGCGGGGCGTCGGTGCAAAACAGGGCGCGATTTGCACCCCCCACGTCTTCTCCGATGAGATGCAGGTTCGTTAAGAGACGTCTCTGATGAGCTGGGGCTCGTTAGGAGAGGTGACGGCCGTGGGTCCGTCCGTCTTGCAGCCTTCCCACCTGCAGATGCGTGAGCGAAGCTGCTGGAGAAACCCATGGCCGGCTGTGCTGCTGCGTTTTCGAGACCCCTTTCTCGGCTTGTTGCAGAGAGAACCACAAACTCTGAGCCACAAAACACCTTTTTCAGCCTCTTTTGGCCCCAAATTGGCGAGCCGACGCTTCGCGACGACATGGCTTTGCCGTGGATCTTGCCGTGGATCGGCGGCTTCCGGGGAAGCTGGGTGCGTGAAGCAGCCTCTCGCCTTCCCCACCTGCGTCACACGAGTGTGTTTTCTTTATTTTAGCAGCTGCCCTTGGGTTTCGAGGCTGGGTTTTTTCGGTCTCAGCTTGCCAGCGAGGATGATGGAGAGGAGCACGGCAAGATCTGGGTTTTTTTTTACTTTTTGAAGCCGTTCCCTGCGCCGTTCTCCTATCTCCAGGTACCATCAGCAAAGAGTTTACTCTACCAAAGCCCTTCCCGCTTTATTTTTCCCCAAACGACGGCAGCGACATTCTGCCCCGATGGCTTTTGGGGGCTTTAACTCACTCCCCGTCCTGCACAGGTGTGTGTTCCCCACCTTTTCCCGGCCGTTTTGGGGATGGAGGTAGCCACGTCGGGTGTTTTCCAGCTGTTTCCAGCCGCCATCTCTTACCAACAGTGCTAAAACCCATAAAGCCCCCCCCTGTTTTTTTTTCCATTTGCTTTACTGGAAGCTGCTCTTGAGAGCGCTCACGACTTCCTTAGCAGCCGTAGAAGGCTCTGAGCTGCACCGAGTCCGCAGGGAGCAATAACCGGCTTCGTTAGAGCTGTTTAAAAGACATCAGTCCTTCCTGACGGCTTCGTTAGCTCTTTGCTTGCGCGGATTTGAAGCGGCGCTTCTCCTCGGCCGAGCTTTCGCGAGGTTGTTTTGCGGTTGCGCGTGGGGAGCGGTGAGCGGCCGGGCCTCCAAGCACCCCTCGCTTTTGGGGCCGAAGCCCTCCAGGTAGCGTCGGGGAAGAGGAGAGGGTTGTATGTCGGAGCTGGAGACGAGATCTCCACTCTTAACGCGTCCCGTGGTCCCTCCCCGTCCCCTCAATGCGCTTGAAAACCCATTTGGTGAAGCTTTTTTAGGTGCTGAAGCCAAATCCTGGTGCTTTTCTCACCCAGCCCGGGAGCCCTCTGCTCATTCGCGGTTCAAACCATGGCAGATTATCATTTTGAGGGTTAATTGCCTCTTTCCCCCCCGCAAACTCTAAAATCAAGCCATGGGGAGAGAAACAAGTTGGGCAGCCAAACTCTTTCTGCGTTTGTTTTGCCATAAACCCCGAGTTTTCCTCCTCCTGCTGGTCTGGACGTTACGAGAAGGATTTAGGGCTCCGCGTCGTTGCTTATCGGGGCGCAGATTGAGCTATCGAGGAGCGCTGCCGTGATCGAGGAGGAAATTAAAAGCTCCGGAAGGGAGTTACATCCCCAGACTCCCGGAGCGTGGGATTTGGGCTCCCTCTGCAGTCAGCAGAGGAAAAAAGGCGATTTGGGACATTTCTTATCTCTCTGAATTGCTGCTGGGACACCATTCCCGCTCCCAAAATCGCTGCTGTCGCAGAGACGAACCCCGTTGTGCCGTCGCGGCTCCGGCTGACCACGCTCCGTAAGGCAACGAGTGCAGCAACCCACGTCCGCGTTGAAAATTCCCCCAAGTCATCATCTTTCCGGCGATTCCCTCTCTGCCTGTTGGTTGTCTTCTTCCCACACATCCCACTTCTACCTGCGCTGGAATCAAAACCCGTCGACGAAGCGGTTTGTGTCCCGGCTCCTTTCCCTCCGTCGGGCAGGGTAGTTCACGTCCCACGCAGGCATCGTTATTCGCTCGTCTAATTAACCGTCTTGGGATCGTGGGTGATTCCGGGGCCGGAATCCCAGCCGGTATTAAAGTGCCAAGGTGAATATATCTCGATATAAACAGAGCGTTTCTCCTCTCCTGGCGCTGGGGAGGGAGAAACTCAGTCTCCGGCAGCCCAACAGGCTCTCGGCTCTTCCCCTCTCCCTGCCACGCGTGGTGGGAAGATCTCACCATCCTAATTACTGTAATTATGGGGCTGCGGCTGTCACAGCCCTGACAGTGTCCGGTTGAAGGAGGGATGCAGCACGAAGAGGTCGCGCTCTTCGAAAAGAGGATGAGGCCGGATTGGGGCACTTAAGGAAACCAGAGGGATGCTGGTGGCTGCTGCCGTTGCGTGGCGGTCCCGGCGTCTCGGCGCTGGGCCGGGGGACGTCTCCGTCCTCCACGGACACGGCGTCGAGTCACCTCGCAGAGGAGAGGTGTCGGGCTGCGCTCGCTGCGAGCGGGGAATCCGGGAGGGAGCGCGGCGTTTCCGTCCCTCTTGCAGCTCTGCGGAGAGGAACCTGGGTGTCCTGGTGGACGACAGGTTAACCATGAGCCAGCAGCGTGCCCTGGCTGCCAAGAAGGCCAAGGGGATCCTGGGGTGCATCAAGAAGAGTGTGGCCAGCAGGACGAAGGAGGTTCTCCTTCCCCTCTACACTGCCCTGGGGAGGCCCCATCTGGAGTA